ATTTGCATCGCTTTCCCCTTGCCAATGTTCATATTTTTAAATATTTGAATAGTGTAAAATAGACACCAAAATGATAAAAAAAAAAAAAGGTTAGTTAAATCAATTTTTTTTAAGTAATGAAATTTTAATTTTGTTGATTTGATTAAATTGCAGCGTGAGAATATTTCTGTAGCATCTGAGAACTTATATCGACAAATAATTTAAATCAATTGTTTTTGCATCTACAAACAAATTTACTGCATAATGTTAGTTCACTTGAGTTTTTTTTTTTGGAAATTTGATTTGTAGTTCAATGTGAACTAGACAACTTATTCATTTAGATATAACGAGAGGTTGAAAAATGAACACTCATTAGAAATGAGAGTTGTCACAAAGAAATATACGGCAAGACAATTTTGTAATGGTTTTAATTTAAATTCATGGGGATTTTTGGATTGTGTTAATGTGATATATTTTTTTCATTTCAATCATTGCACTTCTTTTATTTAAGACATTCTTAGATGTATCATTTACTTAACAAATTTTTTGTGTTAAGAGTGTTTTCAAGATACTGATTGTTTCACTATGGATGCAAACTTCGAAAGGCTTATGGATTGGAGTTCCGTTTTTCTTTGTATAATTTTTGTGAACTATACTATCAGATGAGGAAAAATATCTGAATTTTTAATGCAAAGAAACGAATAAAAAAAAGAAAAAATTATCAAAAATTATTACTTTTCTCCACAAAAATTCATTAGGTCTATCATTTTCATTTTATATCAATGAAGTCTTATTCTTGATATTTTATTACAGTTAATTTATAAATTCTATTATATTATAATTTTATCCTTACCCTTTAATTACCAAAATCCTTTTATTTTTTTGCATTCTTAGAACCAATTAAGAGGACAAAAATTTTTTGCTTACAAGCTAACACAAAATTTCATGGCAAGATTCAAAGAAAGTCCACATTTTCTTATCTCATTAGGGTACCCAATATTAAAACCTGAGACAATATTTTTCAATTATTTAATAAAATAACAAAGGTTAAAAAAACTACATCAATAGTGTTTGTTGATTAATTCCACTTTAATGTCGTTATCGATTCAAACATAACAATTAAAATAAATTTCTAACTTAATCATTTTAAATCAAAAATTAATTAATAGAATAATTTAAAACCAATGAGATAATGTATCAATATAATTTGTAATATAATAATATTACCTTAATCAAAGTAAAAATTAACTTGTTGTAAGAAAAAGACACATCACATAATAATTGAAAAGTCCTAAGGATGTGCCACCGAAGTTCACATACCAAAAGGAATGCAAAGTTAGATAGCAACTGAAATGCCCCAAGAGTGTGCTACCGAATTGACTTAAGAATGCAAAATAATGAAAATATTTTGGTAAGTAAAGGGTATGGATAAATTTGGAATATAATTAAATTAGGACTTAATTGAAATAAAATGTTAAAAATAGGTATTCATTGATATAAAACAAAAATGATAAAATTTAATGGATGCTTGTAGGGAAAAATAATACTTATTTGTATTTTTTCCTAAAAATAATGGTATAATAAATAAAAAAGGGATAATAAAAATAAACTGCTAATTTACGCATAAATATTGGTTTAGATTCCTACTCTAGATTTGTTGATTCACAAAGAATACTAGTTCTAAATGTTTTAATAACTTTGTAGATTCCTAAGAATACCAATAGAATTAGAAATAAAGAGATATTGTCTCAATTGGATTGAATAATCCAAAGCTGCTGAGCCCTAAAGCTTAAAAAAGTATAAATAGTGCAAGAAACCCTAAAACAAGTTGAGAAATAATGAAACATGGCCTAATTATCGTTAATTACATAATTAGGTCATTAATACAGATTTTGCCAAAAAAATCTGTATGAAAAATTTTTTAAACTAATTATACTGCTAAAAACTATTAATTGCTCGAATTTAAAGAAGAACGGACGGCGATCAAGTTTGATGTAAGATGATGAAGTTATTCAACTATAAAAAATTATCAAAAAAGACAAAATCTTGTTTGTGCCCTAAACGAAAAAGTTTGCCCGAAATCCGTCCTACATCCATGGCATCCTTTATTAGGGGATAATGGATTTATTTTGCCCAGAAGCATCTGATTGAATATTGGTGTTTTGAAACCCCCGAATGTGAAAATAGTTCCAAAAAAGTTAACCCGTTTGATCGATCCGAACCACCCCCAATATTAATTCCATCGGTCTAAGTATTGTACTATTATCCGATATGCATCAATTTTAGTCTCTGTTATTCTTTAGAAATCTGTTGAAAATTGATAAAATAGTTCAAAATTTGGTTTGAATTCACACCCAAAAATAATAATAATTCGCTAATTCATAGGTACAGATAATGTTTTTCATTTTTATTTTTTTTGCTTTTGCTTTTTGTTAGTACCTTTTTTAATATTATTTGGTTTGTATTTTTAGTTTGTATTTTTTTTATTGTTATTTATGTTTTCTCATTTTTTTCAATTTTGATTACCCGTATGATAGGACATAAACATAAGATGAATATAGGTATTTTTACAATATAATAATCATATATATTTCTACTTTCTTATAAAATTGCTTTTCCTTGAAATATTTTTTTTTTTGAGAATATTTGAAAAAATACTTCAAAAAGCGTTTTCCAATGATAAATTACATTTTATAAACATAGTCTCTCTTGACTTATTTGGAATCTAAAAAAATTGTGGTCGAAAAAGCAAACAAAAACAAAGTTGTTGGGTTTCGTAAGTTATGGTTTAAAGAGACGTGAGTGCTCATACTTGAGATTTGTATCATTCCTATTTTATTGTTTATATAAATATCTTTGCACGGTGATGATGTATAAAATATGTTTATGCACAATAACAGTTGAATGTATAATTTAAAATAATTAATAAACCAATCAATAAAACAATTAATGAAAGAGACAAATAGTGGATCAACACACATAGTGGTTTGGTCAGGTCATTTACTACTTTGAAGACGGCAACGGTGGCTAATAATTTTTATTGATGAAGTAGTAAGTGTGAGAAAGAGAGAGAGAACAAGGGTATCCTCTTGTTAGCTATGAGAGAAATAACTGTGTTAGGTGTATAGAGAGATGTCTCACTCATGTGGAGATGACTTTCAATTTATATGAATAGAACTTTGGTTAAGACGGTGATCTGATAGGAGATTGATCCTTTAGAGAGGATAACTATATGTACAATTAGAAATGGTCTTGATCTTGAAGAGTGAATATCTCGACTATTACTCCCAACGTACGCTAATATTTTTGGATCCCTTGAATCTTGGATTGAACTGAATTTATGAGCTGGACTTAACATGTTTTATAAGTAATCTGGGCTTATCTCCTTAATTGGGCTAGACCCAATTAAACATGGGCTTGTCATCTAACTGAAAAAATTGTGTCATTGAACATAAATTTTCCTATTTTACTAATAATAATTTTAGATTCTCAATTTATTAAATAACCTTCAATCTTCAGTTAACATAAAGAGAGGATCGAACTTAACAAGTACAAAAGATAATAATGTTAGAATGAGATGGCTTGTTGTACTCCATCATGCATTTTTTTAATAAATTAAATGAGTGATCTTTCCCTCATCACTATTTTTAATACATTATGTTATTGTTATTGTTGTTGATAGTGACTTAAATTCCTCATATTATTGTGATTGAAACATAAAACCGTGTCAATTAATTCATTGTTGTGGTAGTTGGCTATAATCATACATAAGGAATTTGAAATAAATACAAAGCATTACAAAGAAAATAAAATAAAGTATTGAAAACTTTTTGCACAAAAATTATTAAGAAGAATTCATACCGACATGGGATTTATACACCACATTTTACCCCACCTTTTACCACCATGAACCCGCCTTACCCCATCGTGCACTCGCCATCCTACTAGACCTCTTCTAATCTTCCACACCCTGGTTTATAGCTCTTAATCGGATTTAAATCTCTTCTATTAACCCTTTCTCGCTCTTTAACTCTCTTGCCTATTGAATTTATTTTATTAATAGATATATGTGAGTTGTTAAAGAAGAAGTAGTGCTAAATTGAAGAGAGAAATTGAAGTACGACGTTAAAAAATAGGAGTGGAGCAATATTAACATTTTGAGAATTTAAAAAGAGAATTTCAGTGAAGAAAATTTAGAGGTTATTGAAATTGAGAACCATTTGCAAATAAGAATTTTACATAGAAATTTAAAATTCTATATTGAGCAATGTTATTACGAACTAATTTTTTTTTTTAGAATCAGTTATTACGAACTAATTTATTGACATAATTTGTTGAACTAAATTACTCTAACATTTGGATTAACTGTAAATTCTATCAAACAGTGAAACTTAATATTGATCTAATATTCTTATGAAATTACATTATTATGTCAATAAATTAGATCAAAATTTTAAATTCAAATAATATTATTCTTTTATATTATGTAATTCCACAATGATTGGCCCAAACTTTATAACCGAGTAATATGAAATTTGAGGGATAGAACTGTAAATTAACAATATAGGAAAAAAAACAAAATATTAATGATTTGGAGACTGTTTATATTCTCTTCCCCATGAAACAACAGGCGCTTTTAGAGAGGAGAAGCAGAAGAGCTGACAGCACAGGTGGTTTTCTCTCCAGAAGCCATCTCTCTCTCTCTCTCTCTGTTTGTGTGCTAAGAAGGAATCTCTCTACTTCCTTCTATTACTGCTCTGAATTTAACACCTCTCTCTCTCTCTCTCTCTCTCTCATACATATTTGTATGTCACCTAAACTCCAAGACACTCACTCATTTGTCCGAGTTTTGACAGAAGCCCACTAAATTTATTGCAGAAAAACAGCTGGAAAAAAAAATATCAAATCCTGCTAGTTTAGTGACAGAAAGAAAGCTCGGTGTGTGTATGTGTGTGTGTGTCTGTGCGAGAGAGAGAGAGAGAGAGAGATTGAACGCAATCCAGATAAATTCTGTGTCTAAAATGGCCGAATTGAAGGGAAACACGAGGAGACTGTCGATCAATCTTTCGATTTTTGGTCTTAATGATCAAAACACAAAATCAAACGTAAAATCGCCCAAGAACTTTGAGGAACCAAACGGTGTAGTTGGGCTTGGAATCGTAGCAGCTTTGAACAATGATTTGGACCAAACCCTTGATCCTTTTTCCTCTGCTAAGTCTAGCAGAGCTGCTATTCTGGCAATTTCGCCAAGATCAAACCCAATTCCTATACTCAGCAAGACTTTTAGCTCTGGGTCTGCTAAATTTGGAAGACCCAATTTGGCGGATGTGGAGAATATGGAGTTGTCTGAAGGATATACCTGTGTGATTTCACATATTGGGAACAATTTGATCAAGAAAAAAGAGTATTTTGACGGTGAATTCAGATGTGGGTCTGAAAGTACCACTAGTTATTGGGTTAGTTCAGGGCTGTTCTCTGCTTCTTCGCCGGCTGCTGCGAGTGAAGTCGATTTACCAGAGTTTGGGGCCTCGGATTTTCTTAATTCTTGCAATCTCTGCAAGAAGCTTCTTCATGGCTTGGACATTTTCATGTACAGGTACAAACACAATTTTGTTTGACTGTATTTGAATTATCAATTTGTTTATTTGTTTTGGATTTGTGGATGATGTGAATCCTGGTTTATAGTGATGTTTTTGAATCTGGGTTGGTGTTTGAATTTGAGTCGGTCTTGATTTGTTTGTTTAATTTAGTATCTTAGTCAGTGTTTGGATCTGTAGTTTGGAGACTTGGATTACGGAATTTAGGATTCATCATGATTTAAGAGGTAATGTTTCAGTTTTGTGGTTGTTATTGAATGATTGAGGTAGATATTAAGGATTATTCACTGAATCTATTGGCCCGTCTTTCAATAACTAAGAGTATATATTTTTTTGCTCATGGGTGGCATTGAATTGGATATTTGGACTTAAAAATACTCCATTGTTAATTTAGATGCTCTGTTATATTATCCTATCCTACCTAGGTTTTGGGTTTTGAGAATAAGACCTTGTTCTACTTATTTCACTTGTGATGTAATTGTAGACTAAGATTTCTTAGAATTTTTGGCTCAGTTATGTTGCATTGATTGGGTCCCACAGTTTTCCTTTGGTACAAAAATCCCAGTCCTACTCTTTTGTTCAATGGATGATTGGCCACTACTGTTTAAACTGGAAGCGCAATAGGGAAGACAGAAACATTTATACCTTGTTAGTTTTTGAACCTCAAAATCATAAATTACTACAAAACCACTTCAAAGTATTCTTTTGGTAGTTGTTCAGTCTTTGGAGCTCCAATTTGTAGTGCAGAGTTGATATGTATTAAATTATTGCTCAAAATGTTGGTAGAATGGCAGGATCCAAGGATTCATGGCCTTTATAGTATCTGCTAGCCAAGTATACTGGTTGGTTTGGTTGACTATTATTCAGTTATGGCCTCTTATGGTTCTCATGGGATTTTCTGTAAGCCATTGTGGCAGTTGAGACAAAGTTAGCATTTTGTGTGGATTCCTTTTAGCTGGAGATTGGAATTCATCTCCTAAATGAAGTCCATTGTCTGAATTTCAATCTTTGTGTGCATTTTGTGAGGAAGTTATGATTCTCTTACATGCAGTGGCAATTCTTTGGTGATGATTTTTTTCCCCAGAAGGTACTTTGGAATGAGTTACCTGGGAGTTAATGAAAATTCGTTTTTGGTTCATTTTGCTAGAGAAAAGTTTTAAGGAAATTGTATAGGTATTTTAGAAAGCAATAAAAACAAGAAAATCCATAACTACGGGGAGATTAAGGACTTGATATAACAGTAGCAAACCCCTCTGAATACAAAGTTAACCTGCAATAGATTTTTAATGTTTGGAATCAAACTTCAGGATCCGTTGGTCCTAAAGAGCAGTGGAACTTCAAGTGTCGAAATTTTAGAGTTCTCATTTTGTAGTCAGAAAATTGATCAATCAAACTTATACCAACAAACTGGTTGAAATGTCATTATCGAAAAAGATTTAATCATCTAAGGATGATAAGGGGATAGTCGATCCCAAAAAAGTTGGGACAAAGACTTTGTGGAGTTGAGTTTAGGATGAAAAGGAGATGGTTTAACCTCTTCTTTTGCGTGGAGAAATGACCCCTTCCTACAAGATTTGTATAGATTTTCCTCAAGTACATAAAGCCATCTTCTTTCTTTTCTTTTCTTTTGTTTTGTGTCTTTCTTTTTTAAATTATGGTGGAAAGAATCAGTTAGTGGAGAGTGCAAGGGCTTTTATTTTTGCAAGAATTTATTGTCACCCTTCGTCCCTTGATTGTGAGAATCTTCTGTTAAGCTTTTAGCTATTCCATGCTTTGAATTTGATCGGTAGTCCAAGCAGCATCTTAGATGATGTAGGTTTCAAGCTGTTGATTTGGTTGAGTTGGTTAGAATTGTCCTCAACTCACCTCAATTAGAATTATCCTCAACTCACCTCAATTCAACAAAGCATTGTCCCAATCAGTTATTGCCTTACATCATATAAATGTTAGCATATTTTCCAATTGTAAAAGTAATGCCAGATATGATTATTTTTAGCATTTATGAAACAAAAAAAAAAATGCATTTTTATTCCTGAAGGGAGGGAAAGCAATGGTCACAAGATTTGGGATGACAGCCATTTCCTTCATGAACCAACCGAAGTTATATCTCTCTTTGCTGTCAGTTGTTTAGATTCATGCAACTGAGGGAGCTTGTATGTATAGATTATCATCACTTGAAGAACTGGTGGAAGAAGATAGAGTCAGTACCTGGATTAGTGGCTAAGAAGATTGAACTAAGTACATAACAAATTTTAATCTAAAAACAAACAGCCCAAGTTAGGGTGTATCAAGATTTTGAATGTTTCTTTCCTTTTCCCATGCCTGCATTTTCCTATGCCTTCTTGCAAACCAAATGCAGTGCGTATGATACGTCAGTTACTTGTGTTCTCCATTTCTAAATAATGGGAATCACAATCTGCCAATGTTGGTTGCAAAAGTTGTTTTTTTTTTTTTTCTTTTTTTTCTTTTATTGACCACTCATCACATCCCATCAAAACTGCCTGAAGGATCATACCTGGTTGCAAAAGTTGTTTCATTTCATTGTCAGTGGTATTAGTTTCTACAACATAAGCCTCACAGCAATTAGACATTTTACGAATTAGACCAACTCAACAATTCATCACTGCCACTTATTTTTGGAAACTTTTTTCAGTTGCCTGCAAGTGCACTAATTTGAACATATCTTTCAGTGGCAATTATTCATGTTGACATCTCTAGTCTCATACGTTCATTTACATCTTTCATTTTTGAATCGTATCAAAGAAATTTTTTTTCAGGAAAAAAAAAAGTTCAACTTCTCTGCCCTTTAATATTCCAGTTTACTGGAGGAAAACTTATAACTGGAGAGTGTCCCTTAATTCATTTATGTTAATTAAGTTGTGCTGTTCTTTTCCGGCTAACTTGCGATAGCTAAATGTCCATTAGACCTTGTTTGTGTTTGCATTTTGGTCTAGTCTTTGTTTCTCTCTTTTGAGATATTACCACTGAAATCTGATATTTTCCGGAGAAAAATCTTGTGTTCCCTATACTATAACTTGAAAATGATATCACTGATGCATCACCTATTGTTATGTTGCAGAGGAGAAAAAGCATTTTGCAGTGCAGATTGCCGCTCAAAGCATATCTCAGTTGACGAACACAGAGAGAACTGTGCTTCCAGAGCGATGAAACCTCTTGAGCACTCTCTGTCTCCCTGCTGTGGTACAATGCAGTTTCTTGCTGGGGTTGCCGCAGCATAGACCATTGTTATAGTACGTACCTTGTGACTGAATAAAGGAAATTTAAGAAGGTACCTAAAATAAGAAATTGATATTGCCGGCATAAGAAACAATAGAAAATATTTTCTGGGTGGTTTTGGCATGTGATTTCTGCACCTCAAGAGTGCAAGAAAAGTCATGTGAGATGGGAGATGATTTTTGAGAGCATTTTATAGCCTGTTTGAACCCATTGAGGGAGAGGATTTTAAAGTTTGTATGAACTTAAAGCGACATCAAGATTTGCATTTCCTATATATTATTGACATGTTTAATGATATATCAGTGGTCCATGTTACCATTTCATAATACCTAAATTTATTATTGTTATTATTTTTGCTTCTTAAGTACATTTTCAAGAACAATTTTTTTTTTTTTTTGCTTCTTTGTTGTTTTGCTTTTTTCGTGTTCGGGTATGCTTCCTTCCTCCAAAATTAATTGTATATATAGTAACACACGCATATTATATGGATGTATTGTTTTCATACAATGATTCATCTAAATCACTTTTACAAAATACTTTGTAAAATAGTTTTGTAACATGTTTTACAAATGGTACATTACATTTTTCTCTAGAAATGCTGTCACACTTCTCTATATATTTTCTCTTCCCTTAATATTACTTGCTACGGCAATAAGATTAGCTTTTGATAATTGATATTCATCTTACCGGCTGTGTTCATGGTACAATTGAATCTCTCACACTTGCTGCTGATTTTCGTGACATATCTCAGTTTTTCTTTTTCAAATTTTGAATAAATCATTCTAAAAGAATTCCTCAAATTATGTCTAATTTCACATAGCTCTTACTGCCCTTGCAATGTCAGTGAAAAACATCGACAAGCAACTCAAAAGAAAATTTTACATATATCTTGTGCAGTATTTCTTAATACAATTTAATCCAATTTAGTCCACTTTTCCCAACTGGCTGAATGGGGAAAAATAAAAAATCAGATTGTGTGTTGGTGAGGAAAAGGGTATAAAAAAATAGCTATCCACCTATAAATTTGGCAGAAATCTAACTAGACACATAACATGTATGATATGTTTTTGTTCGGCATACAAAAAATAACTTGGGATGGGCTTTGGAACATTAGTAAGGCCATTCCATTTTCACTTAAGCGTTGAGTGTTCGAATTGTAAAAACAATCACTTCGCACATAGGGGTACTCTTCCCAAATCGTTGCAATGTCGGGATCTGGTGCATTGGACTGCCATGACATAAAATATACGCACAGGCTCTACCAAAAGAGGCATAACTTAGATTGTTAAAATGGATTTACAGTGTGTTAAATCCGTAATGACTCATGTTTTTTCAGAAAAAAATATTTTCGAGAGTTTGTGATTTGAAGTTGCATTGGTGTTTTGAAGGCTTTTTAGGCACCGCCCCTAGGTACTTAGAAAGTTGACAATGAGCGTTGATTTATAAGGATAACAAGGGGATAGCGCTCTCTTGTGCTCATGAGGATGTGGAAAATGGAATGAGCATACAAATTAGATTGCAGTGATCAGCTCTCAAGATCTGCACTGTTCATGGTTGGCATAATGTCTTTCCACTAGCCAACACTCTCCGGACCGCTCAAGCAATGGTTGCAATCAAGATTTCTTGCATATAAATCTACCTCTATTTCCTATTCCTATAAATAAAGGAAGCGATTAGAAAGAAACATAATAAAGTTTCTAAGCTTTAAGAGAGACTTCAAATACTTAGAGAAACTTTTTGCTATTTAAATACTTAGAGAAACCTACCTTAACTCTAATCAAACTCAAATCCCACTTCATAAAATCTAGAATTCTTGAGAGAGTTTATGTTAAAACTTTGTAAGTGTTGGCTTGGGTAGAGGTGCAACAAGTCTCTCTAAGACTCGGTGGAGGGTTTAACCAACTTGACCCATGGACAGTTTTTGCTGACCTAGTTAAAAGAAATAAGTTGTGAATTCACTAACACCTGCGGGTTTTGGGTATAATGGTAAGCACTTCAATCTAGGTCACAGGTTCGAATGGTAGTTGCTGGGGAGGGGATTTTTAGCCTAGGTAGAAGTGCAACAAATCTCCTGAGACTCGGTGGAGGGTTTAACCTGCCTAACCTGTGGGCTCTTGTTGTTGAGTTAGTCAAAAGAAAGAAGTTGTGCCTTCACTAACATTTGTAGGTTTTGGTGCAACGGTAAGCGTTTTGATCTAATAGAAAGATTTTGTGAAATCCCAAAGCCCACAAGACAAAGGATCCAAGGAGGCCACCAAGGATCAAGGGAGGAATCCGAAGGAGACGAAGGAGCATTCCAAAAGGGAAGATCGGGGAGTTTGATTCGTCACCTATTGAAGCTAGTCATTAAGACCTCATGGTGGATTTCTAGAGTAAAGATTCAAGGTAAAAAACATATAAAATATGGTATTGGTTGATGTCTAAGTCTTTAAATTTGTAATCAAACTTTGAGACTAGTGGATTAGGTTAAGTGACTAATATCCCGTAATTTTTCCTGAGAAGGTTTCCATGTAAAAATTGCTTGCGTGTGTTGTGCTTGCTTTACATACCTGAAACTTTTACTTTCCTCCAAGCGTTTGATAAGTTGTTGAAGTGAATCCGACTTGTGGTGTTGAACATTTTAATTACTTAAATCAATGTAGTTGAATTGGTGGAAAAGATTAGAGTGTGTTTGATGAATATTATTAAATTGGGGATTTTGCACCCATTCACTTATTCATTGGGCCTAATCAATTGAGGGGTTAATATGTGTAAATTGATTGACTTAATTGTAATTGAGTGTAATAGGTTTTATTTGGCCATTAATTCAGTGCTTGAGTACATAAAACCAATTCACGCCTCCCCCTCTAGGTCAATTACGTTTGCTTTAGCATATCGAGGTCGATCTTTTATTCAAACTTCCAATTGGTATTAAAGCTAGATACCTCGAGTGTTTTTGACCTAGTTATACTGTTGGCATCCTTGAGACTTTTGGCATAGTTGTTTGTGTTTTTGTTGAGATCTATCACAAACCTTGGATTGTTTGTTATGGATTCTCAAAAAAGAAGAAGTTTCAATCAAAAGACCACAATTGTTCGACGGAATTAATTATGCATATTGGAAGGCTCACATGAGAGTTTTTCTCTTATTAATAGATGAACGTATGTGGTTAATTGTACAAGTAGATTGTACCACTCCCACTATGTCCAAGATGGTTGGACTCGATATTGTTACCCAGCCAAAACCCTAAAGCTTGTGGACAAAGGACTATTGTGAGTCAATTGGGTGGAATTCGAAAGGCCTAAATGTGATATTCATTGATGTGTCTCCAAACGAGTTCCAAAGAATCTCCACATGTCAGATTTCAGAGGTTTTCCATGAGGGAACAAGTTTTATAAAGAAGTCCAAGAATCTTCAAAGATCGACTTCTGACTTCAAGGCACTTAGGATGGAGGATAGTGAGACCTTTAGTGAATTCTATACACAACTTATTGACATAGTTTGGAAAATATTGAGATCTCTATCGGAGATATTTCAACCTAAGGTCATAACCATAGAAAAAAGCCTAGATGTTGAGAATATAAATATATAAGACCTTGTTGGGTCTCTCTTCATATATAAGATAAACCTTCGCCAACCCAAAAAATCCAAGGGCATCACTCTAAATTCAATGCATGAAGATGAAGATAACATCGTGTCACCTCGTTTGGGAGATGAGGAGATACTCTTTTTGTGAGGAAGTCTAGGAAGTACTTCAAGGCTAGAAGTGGTGGCTCCTCTAGGTCTAAGAACAAATTTGAGAGACCCAAGACTACATGCAAGTTACAGAAAAAAAGAATTAAGGGTTCCAATGCTATGAGAGTCACGGGTTTTGACACACTGCATCTGAGTGCCCGAACAAGAAGAAGAAACATGTGACCCAAGAAAAGAGAAACAATAAAAACCAAGTAGAGTGATAGCAAGTCTAAACCGTGTTTGGATGAGGAAACTTATTCACAATAGGAGTTAAAAATTGTACAACTTTTGTAGCTTCCCAACCCTTACTACCTTCCATTGTTGAGAATGTCGTTGACCCAAGTTATACCATCTTGGAAGAAGACTTAAAAAGTGAAGAATTTTCAAGTAAGGATGAGACTTGTTAGATCATATGTTTGTAATTGGTTAATTTTGTAGAGTTCATTGTAAATCTCAGCTTATTTTATGGTCATGATGCTAAACAATGAAGATTCAAAAACGTCACTGAAGGAAAGAAATCATGCGTCAAAGCTACATCAAAAGCACTCTAAATGCACCTTCAGGATTAGGACAAGGTAATGACCTAGAGACCTAAGATGATCCTTTAGTTTAATATACTTAGGAGAATTAGAGCTAAATAGAATCGAGATTAATCCGTGTATGGTTCTAGGTGTTTTTCAGTGAAAAGATTTTCTAAAAATATTTTGTTTTTGAAAACATAGTTTAAGCCATTTAGCAAACCCTTCTTGAGCAACACCTTTTAGTGCTTAAGAGAGGACAAATTTTTTTTACTTGTTTTTAGGCTTAAAAAATTGGTAGGGACCACCATAAGCTCATTTTTGCTCACTAGAATAATCTCTTTATGACTTAGGGCAGAAAATAGGCAAAGGCCAAATGAAGGAGATCAAGGCTCGCCCCTCTGGGGGCGCTCAAACAGTTTTCTCTCCTAGGTTAGTTTAAAACAAGTTTTTCAATCCAGTGATCCCCACCTTATGACTGCCCTTCCATTGATAGAGTGGTTGTTCATGAATTTCAGTTTTCTTGAGTTTGCGATATTCAATGCTATGATACCAAATGAGTTCTAGAGGATAGCTACTTGCGAAACCTCCAAAGAAGCATGAGACATCTTGCAATTTTCCCCACGAAAGGGACTCTTATGGTAAAAATGTTTCACCTCCAAAGGTACACCTCTCAGTTTGAGACATTAAGGATGCAAGAGGATAAAAGTTTTAGCAATTTTTATGCTAAAGTAAGTGATATTGTTAACTCATCTGTTGTATAAGGGACC